AAGGAGTGGTGCTAATAAAATTCCACATATTATCTGAGGCATAGAAATCAGCAATACAAAGATTTCTTTTTTATACAAGGGAACAGAAGGGAATCTGGTTGGAGGGAGATGACTTAAAACTGGAGAGAAATTGTCTTTATTCTAAGTAATTTTAAGAATTCAGAATGCTTCACTGTTTTGCCAGATTCTATTTCATGAAGCAGATTAAGGATTTTACATGTTTTGCACCCAGTGTTGCTGGCTGCTTCCCAAGTTTTAGGCAGTCTAGTTTGGGGAGCTTAGACAACCTGATCTTCTTATATTCAGCATTCAGTCACTTTGTCTTTCAGCATCTTTTCAGTCCAGGCTGTATAAGCTGCCTTCCTCCGGGACAGCAAGATGGATTTATCACCCAGAAAAAAGGAAGCATATGTTCTTATTTAATCCTTATTCTCTTCATACAAAATAAATCCATATTCTACATAAGAGCAACAGAAAACAGTCTGCATATGTTAAATTATGAAGAATAGACAATTATTTCAGTAAACATACTTGCTCCACAGGCCATTTCATGAGTAAACTACTCCCTACATGTCAGATAGGCAAAGAACAGAAAGCAGAAGTGAAAGTATCTTGTATGCAGTAAAATCACCAGAAAAAAGGTGTAAGGTTCATTCCCCTATTATTATGCTTTGTACAACCAGCAGTAATTATGTGAACCGTGGGTGCTGCAGTAAGCAGGGTTTCTCATGAAATACAGTCAGAGTCATTACACAGAGATCAAGAAGGAAAAAAGGTAAATCACCCATTCAGACTAAATTGAACTTTGTGTCCCCAGGCAAAATGATTTCAACAATATAGAAACCAAGAACTAACCAGTTCCTCCTTTTTTGAAAGCTTTTTATGAAATGGCAAAATTATTCTGAAAGAACTGAAACTGCCTCATTGATCTGGAAGCAAAGACATACGCCCAATTTGGAAACAACTTTAAACGCTGTCCTCTCGAGGACAGAGATTAGCAGATGAGTACCAGCGACTCCCTCACACTACTGGCATTTTTACACACAAAGCTGTTTGCCGAGATAAAGCACTTGCACAGCACTAAGTCAAAATTCATTCCTGTATTTAGGATTATGAGTCATGCTGTTGAAAAAGCCATCATACTATTACATGAGGACAAGGTGACGGAGCTTTTTAGACAAGTAAGACTGTATAATAACGTGAATCTCAAGAGTGAGCCTTCATTTAAAGAATGTTCTATTCTTGCTACAGTTATCAAGAGAGATTGATGTAACAAAACCTAGTGCAAGAATCGAGAATTCATTTTCTCAGATTTGCTGACCACAATGCCACAAAGAAAAAAATGCTCTCAAAAGAGCATCAGTCCATATCTGGACTGATACTGTACCATATCAGGAAAAGATGGAACCAACAGACACTTGACAGCGGGGAAAGCCTCTACCAAGATTTACTTCCTCAAAACAGACTGACATTTATTTTCCCCTAAATATGTTAGAAAGTAACTTTGCATTAAACAGTTGCTGAAACTCAAGAAAAAACAATACAGAATCTGTTCAGTGTAGGTTCGCACACCTATGCAATCACATCAGGTCAGTCAGTGCTTCTGACAGAGAAATCCCTGCGATCAAACCACAAGGTGATGTTGATGTGTAAGAAACACCGAAGCCGGTAAATAAAAAGCACTGTTTTTTCCAATCCAAACCTCACCTCTGGCAAAAAAAAA